TGCTTTTCTGAAGTCCAGGGTACATATTCTGCTGCTCTCCTTTCTTCCTTGTGTCAGGATCCTGAACTTGACCATCTCATGGTCACTGCCTCCCAGGTTCCCATCCATTTTTGCTTCCCCTATTAATTCTTCCCGGTTTGTGAGCAGCAGGTCAAGAAGAGCTCTGCCCCAGTTGGTTCCTCCAGCACTTGCACCAGGAAATTGTCCCCTACACTTTCCAAAAACTTCCTGGATTGTCTGTCCACCGCTGTATTGTTCTCCCAGCAGATATCAGGGTGATTGAAGTCTCCCATGAGAACCAGATCCTGTGATCTAGTAACTTCTGTTAGTTACTGGAAGAAAGCCTTGTCCACCTCATCCCCCTGGTCTGGTGGTCTATAGCAGACTCCCACCACATCTATAGCAGACTCCCACCACGATGACCTTGGGGCAGTTCCCCTGCCTGTGTTACCCTGGAGGTCAGACCATGGGGGGTGTGACGAACTGGGATTGTTCTTAATGTGGTCTTTGAATGCTGAGTGGGGAGTGCTGGCTGGGAAGACAGGGGAGTGTGGCTAGGATGGTCTGCATGGGGGGATGGGAGACTGGCCGTGAGGGAGAATACCTGAGCATGTAACTTGAGAACCCAGGAAGGGGTTAGAGGCCAGGTGACCCCTTTGCCCGGGAAACTGAACAAAGGGTGTGGGAGGGGATGCTGGGGAGAGAGTTTCAGAGCTGGCTGGTGGAAGGGCTGGGAGGGAGACGGGGCTCTGACTTCCCAAGGGGGCTGTGGTGCCCTGGGACCCCAAGATGGACCTAACTGGGGGGGATCCTGTTATCTGTGCCTGCAAGACTTGTCTTGGACTGTGTTCCTGTCGTCTAAATAAACCTTCTGCTTTACTGGCTGGCTGAGAGTCATGGTGAATTGCAGGAAGCTGGAGGTGCAGGACCTTGTGTCACCCCACACTCCGTGAGAGGGGGTCACTATGGTCCCATCTGGACATGGAATCGAGGAATCTCACCAGGCAGAGCTGGAGGGACACATGGATGGGAGCCCTAGAGCTCAGCGAAGGGTGGGCACTAGTTCCCCCACAGGGGAGGGACTATCCCATGGGCCAATGCCCCTGGTGCTCCCACCCCACTGCATCCCTGTGGATGCCTCCCATCTCTTCCAGTGCCTCTCACTCCCAACCTGCAGCCCCCTGCTAGCCCAGCCCCAGGCTCCCCCGGTGCCCCTCACTCCTGACCCGCAGCCCTCTGCTAGCCTAGCCCTGAGCTCCCCTAGCTCTGCCAGTGTCCCTCACTCCCAACCTGCAGCCCCTGCTAGCCCAGCCCTATTTCACGTTCCCCAGCACCCTGGCGCATGAGGAAACCTTGCAGGGGGGAGGGGGGCTTTAGTGCCAGCCCCATCTTCCCATGGCTAGGGAGAGCTCTGCTTCCAAACCGGATGCACATCCAAGCCTAGGCAATGGGGGAAACGCGCAGCCACATTAGCCCTGCAATTAACCCCTCACTTAATTGCTGTCCCCAGCCACCCAGCCACCCCACACCCGGCCCCTGCAGCGCGCTCCACTCACCCACTAGCACGTGCATGGCCAGAGCTGGGCGCACATACACGTAGGATTCTCCAGCCCATGACTCTACAGGCCCAGGGAAGTGAGGGGAGGAGAGGAGCACGGCTGGGATTTAAAGGGCCCTTGCCCCATTCCCGGGACATCGACACAGCCCCTGGTTAACCCCTTCATGGATAGTGGCCAGTCTCAGAGCCCCATGGCCAGTGCAGAGGGTGGGCCCGGGGGGCAGGGATGGGAGAGAGGGAGGGAGAGGAGGCAGGGGGAGGGCTAGGGAGATGGGGAGCAGAGGATGGGGCAGGAACAGGGAGAGTGAAAGGGGCAGGGGAGAGAGGGATTAATGGGGGCAGGGACGGGGTGGGGTGCAGTGAGGTGGGGGGTAGAGGGGTCAGGTGGGGTGGCAGGAATGGTGCTGGGTGGGAATGGGGGGAGGCTAAGGGACAGGGTCAATCCAGAGTCACCCCTGAGCACAATGGGGTCCAGGCTGGATTCTGCTCTGAACTCCTCCAAGGTCAATCCAGAGTCACACCTGATTGCAATGGATTTGGAGCCGGTTCTGGTTCCCATCCTCTGTGAATGCAGCATTCCCCCCACCCCATATCTGCAGCAGCAGGAGGTCCTTGGTGCGTGGCTGGGGGGTGCGGGCCAGACAGCAACTCCCCCGGTGCCCTTGGATCCGTGGGCAGCTCCGTTCCCACCAATCGGCCTTGCGGGCACCAGGAACAAGAGGCAGAGGCTCATAAGGGTGCCATGGGGGAGGGGAGCACAGCCCCCCTCAGTCCAGACCCTCTCCCCAGCCTGCTGCCCATCCCCCATCTGCCCCTGTGAAGGCGTGTTTGCCCCACACCAGCCCTGATATTAGGAATGAAGATGGGCCCAGAAGAGGACAATTAACCTGCAGAGCTGCAACTGATGGGGGCCCAGGGATTGATAAACATTAATTGCTGGTGAAGCCCCACTGGGGGCGGAGCTGGGGCAGGATTATAAAGGGAGGAAATTCCCAGACGGGGAAGAGAACAAGCTCTGGGAGAAGGGTCAAGCCCAGAGGCATTGCATGTAAACAAAGCCTGAGAAAGCAGGGTAGGAAGAAGCCCAGGGTAACAGCAGCAAGGAGGAAGCCTGGGTAGACCTCGGTTACTGGTTATAGGGTCCCCAGGCTGGATCCCAGAGTGGATGGAGGGTGGGCAGGACATAGCACAGAAGGGTTGGAGGTACCACCTGGAAGGAGGCACCCTATAGTGACCTAGCCAGAGGATTGAGTTGGGAAGAGAGACCACTGCAGTGATGGGAGGGGGCGCTATATGAGAGAGAGCTGCTGTTCTGAGCCTGGGCAGGAGGAGGCGCTCTTGCAGCAAGTGAAACCTGTCACAGTCCCATTCTCGGCCCGGGGCTCTGCGCTGATCCAGGCAGGCGTATGCTCAGGTACAGGACTCTCTGTGCACGGCCGATTGCCTGTACAAAATAGTGTGTCTGCCTCCCCCTCCCCCACTCCTCCCTCCCCGTCTTGTCCATCCGCTCTCTGCCTCTGGGCGTCACACCGCACCCTCGTCTGTTCCTGCGCCGCGCCCATCCCCATGGTGTCTGACGCCTTCTGGCCGGGCATTAAAGGACCTGACTCCACATTTCTCTCATGGTGTGTGTTTGGGAGATGGCAGTTCCTGGTTATTCAGAGCAGGGCTTCCCCCCTACCCCCCAAACACAGAGCCAGGGAACAGCCTGTAGGGGTCTCGCTGAATCTCTCCTTATCCACAGTGAAACAGCTTCAAACAGGAAAATGGACACTAGAGCAGGAGGCACTGGACTCTGGGTCCCCCCTCCCAGGCAGGAACACTAACCTCTGAGCTACAGTCATTCGCTCTCGCTTTGGCTCTGTTACTGTGTAATTAGACACAATGGAGCAGTGTCAACAGAGGAGACTGAGCCTACAGCCCCCCCGCTCTCCCCAGCTCAGTGGGTCAGGCTGGAAACTCTATTTTCTGACTAAAAGTGAATTTATTGGAGGAAATGCAGACGTTCTCCCCCACCCTGCAATTTTGATGAGTTGACGCTTTTTTTTCAATGCACTGAAGAAAGCTGGGACGGAGAAGTTTTGACCACCCCCCAACCCGGGAGTTTGCTGTCTGCCTGAATCTGTTTAACCAGACTCAGTTCTTAAGGCAGAGCTGGGCTTTCTGGCCCAGGGACATTTCCTGCCTGCTGTTGTAACCCCACTGCTCCAGGACTTGAGTGTCCAGTGTAAATTAGGAAGTTCCACTAAGAAAACACCTGGATGCCCTGTCGCTGATTCCTCCTGCCAAAGCAGAGTAGAGTTCAGCTGGAAGAAGGGGCAGGATCTAGGGAACGGCCCAGGGACTTTAAGGGTCTTCTATTCCCTGGCATCCGCCATCACACTATGGCATAAGAATTGCCCACAATGTAGCGGGGCCCGCTCCAGAAATGCTGGCATACCTTCCCCAGAGGGCAACATCTATCCTACCTGCAGCATCTATCCACTGATAGATACCAAGTCACGGGGCTGGGAGGCTCAGTCCCGTTTTTACTTCAGGAAATGTGCTCCCCTTACTCTAGAGCAGACCTTTCCGAAAAATTTCCAGCCTCCATTTAAAAATAGCCAGTGACAGAGAATCCACCAGGACCCTTGGTAACTGGTTCCAATGGGTAATTACTCACTGACAAAAGTTTATGCCTTACTTCCAGTTTGAAATTGTCTAGCTTCAACTTCCAGCCACTGGACGGTGTTAGACCTTTCCCTGCTGGATTGAAGAGCCCGTTAACAAATACTTGTTCCCTAGTCCCCCAAATGTGGGGCCAGATCAGAAGCAGCACCCCGGACAGGGGACAGACTCTATAGCTCAGGTGCTGCCAAACTGCCAGCCAGGTCCCCTACATGGGGGCCACATCAAAGCAGGGCATCTCTGAGGACTGGAGAATGCACTTGCAAATCATTTTCCAACACCTCCTAGCCATGCTCTCTTCAGCAGTGGTCATGGTAGGGAGCGGCTGGGAGAGAGAGAGAGAAAAGTCTGAATTCTCTGCATCAAGTTCAGCACAAAAGCAGACCCAGCCATACTGCATTTGCAATCATGCATTTTATTGCAGGAAGCAGCAAGAGAAACCGGCTCATTAACAGCATCCAGGGCTCAGCCTGGTACAATCTTTATCCCACACTACCTTACCAACCCAGAAAGTCCTGGATTGATTATTTATTAATGGTAACCCCGTAGCATCTCAGGGTCCTGCTCATAGATGAGGATCACAGTGTTACATAATGGGCCACAGAGGGTGGGGGGTGGGGAAGGGGCGGCTATACTATATAATGGGCACTGGGGCAGCAGTGGGTGGGGGTGGGGAAGGGGCGGCTGTACTGTATAATGGGCACTAGGGGCAGCAGTGGGTGGGGTGGGGAAGGGGTGGCTATATTGTATAATGGGCGCTAGGGGTAGCCGGGGGGTTCCCCGTTGGGGCAGGTCGCTTGTGCTGGCGGGGGCCATACAGGTTTGATTCTGTTGTTTGTCCCCCCTTGTGCTTAGCTCTCTGTCCCCACCTGAGGTTTCAGAGCCGCTCCCTGCTTGCGCTCCTTGTGGGGGCGGGGCAGCCCAGTCGAGGTGTGACCCAGTTGGGTTTGGATCTTCTCTAGAGACATAGAAGTTGCTTGCATAGATTTTTCGAAGTGCACGGGCAGGTGCTCTTCGTTACAAGCCACGCGGATCTTGGAAGTCTTTTCTTGTTTCTCGTATGTACAGGGCCTGTGGCCGTTTGTAGAATTCAGCTGGCATATGGTGAGGTTGAAGATTGCCGTACTCTGGTAGATGTTGCTGTTGTTGCTTATCCTTTCACAGCAGCAGATGGCTTGGATCTCTTGTTCACAGGCGTGGATGAAGGTGTTGATGCGTTTGCACTTGGGGGCATCTTTGTTTATGTTGCGTTTTTTCATCATGTAGTTGCAATAGTTCTGGTTGTCGGGGGCATTGGTCTTAGGGTAATCAATGTGCTGCCTCTTGAACTGTGTGTACCCGTCACGTTCCCCAATCAGGCCCAAGGAACCAGACAGCAGGATGTGGGACAGCAGGAGCACAGGGCGGGGTCCCCTCAGGGCCGTGGCCGTGTCTATCACTGGATCAACCTGCAGTGGGGAGAGGGGGGAGATGAATGGAGACAGCGCGGGGTGGGGATCTGCCTCCTCCATAGCACCTCATGGGCCTGAACCCCTCCCCCTGCCAGCCCATTCTACCCCTAAAGCCCTGCCATTCTCATTACCCCCACTGAGATCAGGGCCCCATTGTGCCAGGCGCTGCATAGATCCAGAGGGGAATCGTTACACTTGAAATGGGAAAAGCAGACCGAGAAAGGGTTCTTATCCCCATGTTATACATGCGGAAACCGAGGCACAGAGATTCACCCTCAGCTTTTCAACTCCCACTGTGATGCTCGAATCCCATGGTAATACAGCAGGGTTTGATCTCAAGGCTCTTGTAGGGGGATTGAAAATTTCCATGCTAAGAGACAGAGAATGAAACCCAGGTCTCCTAAACACCCGTGGAGAGCCTTGGTCACAACCTCAGTCTGCACATAATGTCAATTTGACTAGTTTGGCAATGATGGCCTGACTCCCAGCCCCCCTGCTCTAACGACTAGACCCCACTCCCCCCCCTACAGCCAGGGCTAGAACGTGGGACTCCAGAGCGCAGATCTCACCTAAACTTCCTTTCACTCTTTTGCTGAGATTCTGCTCCCAGCTCCTCAGGGTCAATCCGGAGTCACCCCTGACTGCAGGGGGGTCGGGGCCGGTTCTGGCTCCCATCTGCTGTGAATGCAGCTTCCCCACTATCCCCCCGGTACCTGCAGCAGCAGGTACTTGGCCTTGGTGCATAGCCTATTGGTACAGACCTGATTGTGACTCTTCAGACGCACTTCGATCCGTGGGCGGCTCCAGTCCCGCTGATTGGCCTTGCGGGCGCTGAGCAGGGGGGTGATGTGGCTGAAGGGCAGAGGCTGATTGCGGTGACATGGGGGATGGAGCACAGCCCCCATTCCAGACCCTCTCCCCACCTGGCTGCCCGTCCCCCACCTGCCCCATTCTCGGTTGCTGGCCCAGGGCTCTGCGCTGATCCAGGCGGGCGTATGCTCAGCTGCATGATGCTCTGTGTGAATTGGTGTGTCGCCCCCCCCTTGCCCACTCCTTCCTCCCCTCCATGCCCATCTGCTCTCTGCCTCTGGGTGTCACACTGAACCCTGGTCTGTTCCTGTGCCATACCCATCCCTGTGCTGTCTGATGCCTTTTGGACGGGAATTAAGGGACCTGACTCCACATCTGTCCCCTGGTGTGTTTGGGAAACCCTAGTTCCTGGTTATTCAGAGCTGGGCTCCCCCCACCCAATCACGGAGCCAGGGGACAGCCTGCGCGGGGTCTCGCTGAATCTCTCCTGCTGAAGCCGTTCCACTGTGGATAAGGTCACGGGTCACTGGAGCAGGGGGCTGGACTCTGGGTCTCCCCCTCCCAGGCGGGTGCACTAACCACTGGGCTGCAGAGTCATTCGCGCTCGCTTTGGCCCAGTGACAAGCTAATTATTTGTACACAGTGGAGCAGCTTCAATAGGGGAGACTGAATCTCCCTCCCCCCATAGCTCAGTGGATCTGGCCCTTACTAGGGAGATGCCAGTTGTGGGTTCCAGTCCTTGTTCCCCATACGGGGAGGGGGTTAAAACAGGTCTGCTACCTCCCAGAGGACTGCTCCAACCCTTGGGGTAATGGGGGGAGGGGTATCTCTACCCACACACGTGGTTTCATCTTGACACAGAAGGGGGAAATGTTGGAAGTCCTGAAGAAGTTTTTGGGCTGGGAACCCCCTTTCCCTTCCCGGGACATATTCTCCCCTCCCCCCCCCCCCGCCGCCTCAGGGCTCCAGGGGGAGGGACTTACCCAGAGTCAGAGTGGGTGGCAGGCGGCACAAAGTCCTCTGAGATCAGGACCCCCCCATCCATTCCATCCTGTGTCTCTGGAAGGGTCACATAGGGGTTGGTGTGGGGCTGAGCTTCCCATCCCCCGCTGGTTTCCCCTGGCAGACACCCCCTCCCGAGAGAGTTAGGCTGAAGAGAGGTTGAGGGTCTAGTGGAGAGCACGGTTAGCTGCCCCCGGTGATACCAGCTGTAGCCTCTGTAACCCCAAGGCCACCAGCGATGGCTCTGGGCTGTGGTGGGACCCACTGGCCTGTGGCTAAGAGGGAACCATCCCTCGCTGTATCTGTCCTAGGGGATTTCTCCTGGGACCTGGTGCCCCCAGACTTCCCTGCCCCTGGGGAGCCGCTGGTGCCTTATCCGAGCCTCCTGCCCTTAGGAAGGGCCCCCTCCAGTGTGACTGAGCTGCCCGGCCTGGCTTGGTGGGTTCAAACTGTTCCCCGGGAGGCTGATGCTCTCCCCAAACTCACCAGCAGGAGCCCCGGGGGACAGGAGAACTGCCATGGGGAGCAGGAGCAGCAGAAGCATCCTTAGCGTCTGTCGAGGGACAGGGACGGTGCTTCTGATAGAGCCCCGGGGTATTTATAGACCTGGCTAGTGGGCAGGAAACCTTAGCGTCAGAACCTTCCTGTGGGGAGCTGGTGTCAAGCAGGGGCCCTTGGGTGTCCTGGACCTATGGTGAGGGACTCTGGTGTCTGCAAACCAACTCCCTCCCCCAACTCCTCCGACCAACATACAGAGGACAAGGTCCCTGTGAGGAGAGGTGTCCCCTCTGCAGCTGTGCACAGCTGGCGCTGCAGAACAGCTGGGAGCTGGCCCCCCTTGGGCCAGCACACCTGTAGCAGAGCTGAGCTCTGGCAGGAGCTTGCACGGACCCCTCCCCCTCTCCATCAGCGTGGGTGGAGGCAAGTGTGGCTAACACTGAGTCATTACAGACCAGGCTTTCTAGCCACTCTGCTCTCCTCCTCCTCCTCTCACCTGGGTGTTGTTGTAGAGAAGGGGACTGGGTCCTGCTGTGGCCTCAGTCAGAGGGCGGCCATCAGTTGATTCCCAGCAAGGGGATGCTTTATATTTTTGTCCCTTCGGTTTTATTCATTGCAGGGTTACAAAGCAGGGAGTGACATTAACCAGCAGGGGTAGGAAGGAGGGGTTAGCAAGGAACAAGGATACGAGCAGGGGGCATTTGGGTAATTCCTCAGGACACAAACTAACTCCTGGCTCAGCTGAGCCCTGTGACATTGCCCCGCTCAATTCTCCAGCCTGGGGTGCCTTTTAAACTGTTTTGCTGTGAGAGCAACTATTCCTGGTCTGCCCACACACACCATGTAAATCACTCCCAGCTATACTGTATGAGTGCTCTAGCCAGCCAGCCATGAATTACACTGCAGGGAAACATCAGGAAACTCCCAGTCCCAGACTTTCCCCCAGAAATGTGTGTCTTGTACTGCCCAGCACCCACTGGACAGTACAAGCTCAGAGCAAGTCGTCATTTTAGTAATCGAAAATGATATGAACAAACCCTGTTACTCCAAATGGAGTTCCCCAAACACTTCAATCCAAACACACTGGTTTAATTAAAACAATAAAACAAATTTATTTACAATAAAAACATAGATTGTAAGTGGGGAAAGATTTTTAGGTAAAAAATAAGTTACAAATTACTTAGACAAGTTAGATGTCTTCAAGTCAACAGGGCCTGATGAAACACATCCTAGAATATTCAAGGAGCTGACTGAGGAGTTATCTGAGCCATATGCATTTATCTTTGAAAAGTCATGGAAGACAAGAGAGATTCCAGAAGACTGGAAAAGGGCAAATCTAGTGCCCATCTATGAAAAGGGAAATAAGGACAACCCAGGGAATTACAGACCAGTCAGTTTAACTTCTGTACCCGGAAAGATAATAGAGCAAATAGTTAAGCAATTTGCAAACAGCTAGAAGATAATAAGGTGATAAATAACAGTCAACATGGATTTGTCAAGAACAAATTGTGTCAAACCAACCTAACAACTTTTTTTTCACAGGATAAAAAGCCTTGTGGTTGGAGGGAAATGGTAGTCATGGTGTATCTTGACTTTACTAAGACTTTTGATACTCCCTCGCATGACCTTCTCATAAACAAACTAGGGAAATACAACCTAGATGGAGCTACTGTAAGGTGGGTGCATAACTGGTTGGAAAACTGTTCCCAGAGAATAGTTATCTGTGGTTCACAGCCAAGTTGGAAAGGCATATCGAGTGGGGTCCCGCAGGGATCGGTTCTGGGTCTGGTTCTGTTCAATATCTTCATAAACGATATAGATAATTGCCTAGAGAGTACACTTATAAAGTTTGCCGACAATACCAATCTGGGAGGGGTTGCAAGTGCTTTGGAAGATAGGACTAAAATTCAAAATGATCTGGACAAACTGGAGAAATAGTCTGAAGTAAATAGGATGAAATTCAATAAGGACAAATGCAAAGTACTCCACTTAGGGAAGAACAATCAGTTGCACACATACAAAATGGGAAATGAGTGCCTAGGAAGGAGCACTACAGAAAGGGATTTGGGAGTCATAGTGGACCACAAGCTAAATATGAGTCAACAATGTAACACTGTTTGGGGAAAAAAGCAAACATTATTCTGGGATGTGTTAGCAGGAGTGTTGTAAGCAAGACACGAGAAGTAATTCTTCTGCTCTACTCTGTGCTGATTAGGCCTAAACTGGAAAATTCTGTCCAGTTCTGGGTGCCACATTTTAGGAAAGATGTAGACAAATTGGAGAAAGTCCAGAGAAGAGTAACAAAAATGATTAACGGTCTATAAAACATGACCTATGAGGGAAGATTGAAAGAATTGGGTTTGTTTAGTCTGGAGAGGAAAAGATTGATGGGGGGAACATAACAGTTTTGAAGTACATAAATGGTTGTTATAAGGAGGAGGTAGAAAAATTGAGGGGTGGGGGAGGGATAGCTCAGTGGTTTGAGCATTGGCTTGTTAAACCTAGGGTTATGAATTCAATCCTTGAGGGGGCCATTTAAGGAAGTGGGGTAAAAATCTGCCTGGAGATTGGTCCTGCTTTGAGCAGGGAGTGGGACTAGATGACCTCCTGAGGTCCCTTATAACCCTGATATTCTATGATGATTGATTCTCATTAATCTTTGAGGATAGGACAAGAAGCAATGGGCTTAAATTGCAGCAAGGGAGGCTTAGGTTGGATATTAGGAAAAACTTCCTAACAGTCAGGGTGGTTAAGCACTGGAATAAACTACCTAGGGAGGTTGTGGAAACTCCATAATTTGACAATTTTAAGAGCAGGTTAAAGAAACACCCATCAGGGATGGTGTGGTGGGGCGGCTGCCCCACGCCCAGAGAGTGTGGGCTGCGGCAGGCCTGGGCGCCTGCGTATTCCGGCAGCCAATGAGGGAAGGGCTTGTTGCGAGCCAATCAGAGAACAGATTGGGGCCAGCCAATCAGGGCCCAGCTCAGCCATATAAAAGACTGCTCAGGGAGAGAGCAATCAGTCTGTCCCAGGCCTTCGGAGGGGAAGGTCTGTCTCCAGAGCTGGGAGGCCAGCACCATGGACAGTGCAGTGCAGGCCAGCCTTGGAGAGTGGGAGAAGGTCCTACTCCGTTGCCTGCCAGGTGGCAAGCCTTGTAGGAAAGGACCTAGTGGGAAGAAGGGCCATTGGGGAAGCGGTCCAGAGGAACAGACAGAGGAGGAAGGAGAAGGAGGACAGCGAGGCTGTCGCTAGAGGGCCTCTGGACCGGGACTCAGAGTAGTGTGCGGGCCTGGGTCCCCCCATCTTCCCTTTGTTCCCCTTGGCAGTACACCCAGCCATTGGCCGCAGGGAGCGGCCAGCCGAAACTACACCAGATCCTTGACTGTAGGGATTGGACTTGAAGGTGGAGGACTGTGGGTCATCCAGCCCCCGGAAGGGGGTGTGAATGGAGAAAGGGACACTGTCGGAGGACAGTGTTCCAGAAGAGGACGCTGTGCGTTGGGAGCAACGCTAGTCCGCACGCCAACCAAAGGCGAGACGACAGGCAGGACGCCACCAGAAGGGGGCACTCTACTGGATCGAACCAATTCCCCGAGACGACCAGTAGGAGGCGCCGCGGTGGTGAGTCCCAACCCTGTCACAGATGGTCTAGATAATACTTAATCCTGCCATGAGTGCAGGGGACTAAATGAACTCTTGAGGTCCCTTCCAATCCTATCATTCTGTGATGGTGCATAATCTGGGTGTCTGCTCTCCCTTTTTATGGTTTATTCTCATCTTTGAGAATCATCTGCAGCTGAGATTCAGGAGACAGAAAGTCTTTGTGGATGGGAATTCTAAGCTGTTTCTTTGTCAAGTTGTAGATTTTCCCCCCACACCCTCTTTCCCGCCAAAAATGGCCACTTAACCAGGTGATGGTCCACTTGACTTTGTTGGCACTTGGCTGAATGTCGGCTTTCCTTTTTTCTCAGAGGAACTTGTTTATAGCTGTTCCCCAGACTTGGAACATGTCTTAGGCCTCTTCTACACTACAGAGTTTTGTCAACAAAACTCATGTCGACAATGAAAAAGCATATAATTACATTGCTATTGCATCTTCACACTACACTCCCTCTGTCGGCAGAGCGCATCCACACCTGGTGCTCTAGCATCAGCAGTGAGAGCAGTTCACTGTGGGTAGCTATCCCACTGTGCTACTAGCCATCTTCTGCAGGTAGGATTTGTAGGAAGGTGGAGTGGATCACAGTGCATCATGGTTGTGTGCTCAATATCCCATGATGCATTATTTTCTGTCCTAGCATTCCATGGTTTTCCAGATGCTTTTTGCAGCATTTTTAAACAGCCCCAGTTTACCATGTACCTGCCATCTATGGATGGATGGATGGATCCTACACTGCTCTCTACTGTTGTGGTCACTGTCATTAACACATGGTGGATGGTCATGAAGTATACCATGATCGCCCAGTCTGAACAAGAATCAGCGTTTCCTGACCTGCTGTGTGCCCTGGAAAGAAACAACACCAGATGACTTTTGGCATTCATGGAGCAGCTGCACATGGTGAACTCATTTTTGAGCTTGGGAAACTAGCTCTGTGTGGTGGGATAACATCGTTATGCAGGTCTGGGATGATGAGCAGTGGCTGTAGAACTTTTGGATGCAGAAAGTCACCTTCCTGGAACTGTGCGCGGAGCTCATCCCAGCCCTGAGGCACAAGAACATCAAAACGAGTGCTGTTGTCTTGGTGGAGAAGCATGTGGCGATCGCAATGTGGAAGCTGGTGACTCCAGACTACTACCGCTCAGTCATTAATTAGTTTGGAGTTGGGAAGTTGACCATAGGGGCAGCGTTAATGCAAGTGTGAAGGACCATTAATCACATCCTGCTACGAAGGACTGTGACTTTTGGCAGTGTACATGAAATAGTGGATGGCTTTGCAGAAATGGGATTCCCTAACTGTGGCGGGGCAATAGATGGCACACATATCCCAGTTTTGGTCCCAGACCATCTTGTGATGGAGTACATCAATAAAAAGGGGTACTTCTCTATGGTATTGCAGGCAGCTTTTTGATCACCGGGGTCATTTCACTGACATCAACGCGGGGTGGTCCGGGAAGGTGCATAATGCACACATCTTCAGGAACATTGGCCTGTACAGAAAGCTGCAAGCAGGGACTTTCTTTCCAGACCAAAAGATTCCAGTGGGGGATGTTGAAATGCCCATAGTGATCCTTGGAGTCCCAGTGTACCCCTTTCTCCCATGGCACATGAAGCCTTACATGGGGAACCTGGATAGAAGTAAGGAGCGCTTCAACAACAGGCTGAGTAGGTGCAGAATTACTGTTGAATGTGTGTTTGGCAGTTTAAAAACGCTCCGGCACTGCCTTTATGACAGGTTAGAGCTAAATCAGGAAAACATTCCAATGGTCATAGCTGCCTGCTGCATGCTCCATAATCTTTGTGAGGCTAAGGGTGAAAAGTTTGCCCAGGGTGGAGTGCTGAGGCAGATCGCCTGGCTGCTGATTTTGAGCAGCCAGATACCAGGGCTATTATGGGGGACAATTCGAATCTGGGAGGCTTTGAGGCAACATTTTGAGAATGAGAACCTGCAATGTGTATTTCTAAGCAGCAATCTGCCATGCTTCATTAATCTGAATTTTATTTTTTTGCCTAACACTTGTCGTGATTCCTGAGTGGGATTAGCAGTATGCAAATGATTAAACTGAATGTATATGTTTTACTACCAGCTGCAATCAAGACATGTAGGACACAAAGATTGGTTATCTTTCAAAGAGTTTGTTTTTATTAAACCCCAATTAACACACACAAAAGTCTTGGTGGGAACGGAGGTAGCAGTGCTGGGCATTGGAGGCTATCACAGGTGCACCTAAGTCCAGCTATCATTTTGGAAGCTGTATGAAGGGGCAAAGTGAAAGGGATAATGACATGTTCCGGAAAGTTAAAAGGAATGTGTGGAAGAAGTTTGGGGAGGGCAGGGAGAGCAGTTCTGTATCGGCTGCGGGGGGCATGCGTCTGTTCTGACTGTTGTGTGATTAGAGACTTCAGCATCTCTTTGCTCCTCCATGACTTTTATCATCTGCTCATGGGTCATTTGAATTCACTACTGACTCTCCTTTTTCTCCCACCTTTCCATTTCTCTCCACTCCCTGCAGTCTCTTTTTTTCTGCCTCAGAAGATTCGAGCACCTCTTGGAACATGTCCTCCTTGCTATTCTTCCTTATCTGGCGGAGGTGCTCCGCCAGTGTGTAGGGGTTTCCCCTGTAGGCCACATCTGCCGAAGCACAAGAAACAATACACAGAAGCATACATGAACAACATTGAATCATTAAAGTAAAATACAGCACACATCTCGGAGAACTCCCTAAACATGGCGTTCAAGCTGGGGCAGAGTATAGGTGATGTTTCAAGGGGATCAGTACAGGCAACTAGGGACAATATTGTAAATTCAGCCACCATTTTCCACAGGCAGGAGTTATGGTAGCCAATATCTCACTGAGAGTAAGCAAGGTTGCAAGGGTGCATCTAGTGCACACGTGCGGCTTCAGGCTCAGGCCCTATGCTGCTCGCCTGTGTGCCCCTTTGGTCCCTGCACAAGTGATTGCCGAGGGGCGAGGGAAAGTTTCCTACAATGGGGGAAGGCGCAAAGCAGCCCTGCCAAGGAACCTTTGGCAGGGGATTGCCGAGTACCTGCAGGAAAGTTTCCTAGAGATCTCTCTGGAGGAGTCCCGTGAAATCTTGGTGTGCATCAACACACTGTGCTGCCACACTGCTTAGCTGCACAGGGTAATTTGGAGCACATGTAAACACAGCTAGTCTTATACATTTCTATCCCTTCTACAGTATACAGAGTAAAGGAAAGCTGAACGTCATATAACCGGGCAGGATCAGCTCCAAAAGATCACTTACCAGGGGTCTCCTCTCCTGCTTCTTCCTCACTGGAGTGGGGCTGCTGGGACTGGATAGACACCTCCGGACTGGAGAACAGTTCCTGACTCACTGCCGCACCAGACAACCCTGCCATGGGCTCCGCATCATCGTCCAACTCCACCTCCTTGTATACGACTTTGTCCTTGGGGTTAGGTCCACTGACCGCCACCTCCAGCCTCGCCGAAATATCCTCAAGGCTCTTAGCGGTGGAGGTGGGATCGCCACCAAGAATGGTCACAGGGCTTCAGAAAAGCCCCGGAGTGATGATTTGCCTCCTTGCCTTCTGGTGTGCCTGCCTCAGCTCCTTTATCTTCGCTCGGCACTGCACCATGTCCCGTTTGAAGCCCTTATCACACAAGCCACAAGAAATCTGCCCGTAGGTATCAAAGTTCCTACGGCTGGAGCACAGCTGGGACTGCACAGCCTCCTCTCCCCATCTACTCAGCAGATCCAACAGCTCCACAGCGCTCCAAGTGGGAGAGTGTTTGCCATGTAGAGCCGCCATGGTCAGCTGGGAAAATGTCATGTGAGTTCTCCATGCTGAGCAAACAGGAAGTGGAATTTCAAAAATTCATGGGGCTTTAAAGGGGGATGCTTGCTTACCTGGCGGCAAAGCAGCGGAGTCTGAACTGCTGACCAGAGAGGTCAGGATGGGCATTGTGGGACACCTCTTGGAGGCTATTTATAGTGACAAAACCAAGCATGGTGTCTACACTGACACTTTGTCAATAAAACTTTGGCTTAAAAATCTCTATGCCTCTCATCAAGGTGGTTTTATTTTGTCACCAAAACAGGAGAGTTTGGTCTACAAAAGTAGCATTGTAGTGTGTACACCTCCACTGTTTTGTTGGGAAAAGCTGCCTTTTGCTGACAAAACTGTGTACACAAGGCCTTAATAACACCATACGGGTGAATCTTATAACTTTACATACAACATTGCCTCCCGTATTTTACCAGGACCGTAATGATCAGCAAATTATGATTTTTTTCAAATGGTACCTCACAAGGCATACTTTGTATGAAATTTATCATAGACCTGTAAAAGGGGTGAACATAGGGGTACAGACTGTCACAAGCCCGGACAAGCACTGTCCAGGGACCTCACAGTAACTGGGTCTGATCAGAAAGGTTCACATTGAGTGGCTTCCTTTTGGAAACAGCAACTTTGGCTAAACTACAATTTTCAGTGCACTAATGTTGATTTTGACAAAGTTTTTCCATTTTAAGTCAAAATGTTACTTTGAAACCCAGCCCTCTGAGATATCCCCAACAACTTGTCACAGACAGTTTGACATTTCTGTGATGCCGAGATGCTCAGGCAGGTGTGTTACCCCTGTGTCTGATCCTCTCTTCAATAGTTCGGCAAAGGAGGGGTGGTGCAGGTGCTCTTTTTTTTCTGAAAACACCAGCTCCTGAAGTCACACGATCAGGTGTAAATTTTTAGCACCAAGGGCAATTAACCACTGGAACAACTTATCAAGGGTCCTGGTGGATTCCCCATCCTTGCCAAGTTTTAAATCAAGACTAGATATTTTCCTAAAAGCTCTGCTCTGGTTCAACCAGAAGTGAGTTGAGGGCACTCTCATGACCTGGGTTATGCAGGAGATCAGAGGAGATGATCAGGGGGCCCCTTCATGCCTTGGTATCTATAAATAATGAGCGAATCTCACCTTTCTTTGTTTTGTTTTAAAGAGGAAGGTTTTAGTCCTTGTGGTTGCAGAAATTGAAAGCTTAACAATTACAAACCCCTGAAGTCAGGTAAAAAGAACCCCATGTTTATTATTTTTAACAATCTCTGTTTTTTTAAGCCAATCTGTGAATCTGGGGGGCACAGCTCAGGATTTCTGACAGTTTGAGGCTGACAGACTTGTCCACCCCCGGTGTCGACCAGTGAATGATTTCAGACCAGCTGCTTCTTGTCTCCAGCATAGGTCAGTTCCTGGCAGGTCCATCCCCATGTTCTTAAGCCAATGCCATCGTCAGCTTCAATAGATTTCTGGAGTCTTGCCCCCTCCCCCTGATGTCTCTAGAGCCCCCCAGGTCCCTTCCCAGGCTGAGTGTTAGGCCAAACAAGCCCAGCTCCTTCCGTCCCCTCCTCCAGGGTGGGCTCTCTGCACCCCCCACATCCTACTAGCCCTTCCCTGCCCCGCTCCAGTCTGAATCCCTCTGTCTGGCACACGGGGTGTGGTCCCTGCTGGAACCTGGGAAAAGCAGCTCCCAAAGAGGGACGGGAGGAGCTCGCTGAGGTCTCAGCCCTGGTCTCACAGGCTGGGCAGGCGGAGGGCTGCGTCCCATGTCCCCAGGAGGCCTGGCCCCAGGAGTGTGTGGGAGCCCCAAAGCTAGGGACAGTGGCTGGGCTTGGCCCCAACCCGGCTGGCTCAGAAGCACGTGAGGTCCGGCCTTTGAATCTGCATGGGACAGCCTGGGGCCTGCCACTGGGGCTGGGTCAGGTGGAACTGGGCCGGGGTCGCTGCCTGCAGAGACCCAGCCAGGGGGTAGCAAATGGAGAGACCAAGCTCTGCAGAAAGCCCAAGGGAGCACATAGAGGTCTGGGAAGGGGATGTGGCTTCAGCCTGGCATCACCCTATCTGTGGACCATGCCTCGCCCCATGGGCGGCCTTCGCCCCAGCATATTGAGTGGGGTATAGAATCATAGAAACATAGGGCTGGAAGGGACCTCAAGAAGTCATGAAGTCCAGCCCCTGCACGGAGGCAGGATGAAGCAAACCTACATCATCCCTGACAGCTGTTTATACAACTTCTTCTTAAAAACCTCAAATGATGGGGATTCCGCAACCTCCCTTGGAAACCTGTTCCAGAGCTTAACTACCCCGAGAGTTAGAAAGTATTTCCTAATAAATAACCTGAATCTCCCTTGTTGCAGATTAAGCCCATTACTTCTTGTCCTGCCTTCACTGGACATGGAGAATAATTGATCCCCGTCCTTTTTATAACAGGCCTTCACAGATTTACAGACTGGTATCAGGTCCTCCCCTCTCATCTTTTCTCCAGATTAACATGCCTAGTTTTTTTAACCTGACCTCACAATTTATCCACAGCTTTCCTAAAGTGTGCTGTAGAGGAGGGCAGAAGAAATGATCCATCGGTCCCGTCTGGCCGTTATTTCTCTGGCTGTACGAACATCCCTGCAGCAGCGAGATAAACACCTTTCCACCTTCACAGCGTTTCCTTCTCTTTCTTCAGGGCAATGCTGTTAAACACATTCTGCCTCCTAATGTGGAACAAATGCCGCGAGGTTTGCTCACTGTTTGGGAGGCAGGAGCCGTAAGTGCTGTCAGTTACACTGCGTGTTATTGCACTGCTAGGTCCAATGGACCTCAGCTGGAGCCCTGGCCCCATTGACTCCAGCAGAGCTCCAGCCAATTTACTCCAGCCGAGGATCTGGCCCACTGGCTTGGGTGGAGGGGGATGGGGCCTGGGGCCTTTCCCCTCTAAGGGGTGCTGGCTCTGATCCAGCCACAGGCAGGGGACTGGCTGGTTCAGGGGGTGGTTGAGAATCACAGACATTGGTCTCCCAGCCTGATCAAGGGCTTTCTCAGAAACATTGCTCTCACAGACCCCACAATGCAAGGGTGTCTGATCTGAGTCATCCCCCTGGCCCTGCTCACCCTAGTGGTGAGAGACGCTTGAGAAAGAACAAAGGGCCGAGTTCCCATCTGCAGCTGAGATGAGACAGGGTTAACCACAGCCTCCACCAATACAGCACCTAGCTGGGGAGGGGCAGGGGACAGCTGAGACTCTATTAGCATGTAACTCTCCTCCCCCGGCCCAGTTCCAGATGTGTCCACATGTGCCCAGATGTGCTTGTTGCCAGAGGCTGCAGGGCTCCAGGTGCTGAGTGTCTCCAGATGTTGCCCAGCTGTGGTGAGGATGTGACTGAGCCAGGCCTGCCCTTTCCCCTGCCAGCTTAGCAGTGCCTCCAGAGAGCTACCCAGCAGCTGAGTCTGACCCTGAGGTTTCCTGTCCCCAGCTGTGGCTATAAGACCCCAGGGCTGAGTCAGACGCACCTTCTCTGATCCGGTGCTGACAATGCTGCTGCTGCTGCTCCTGCTTCCTGCAGCCATCCTCTTGCCACTCAGGGCTCAAGCTGGTGAGTACTGGGGGGCATGGTGACCCCAGCCGCATGAGGAGCTCATCAGGGCGTCCCCAGTCCAGGCACAGCTGTTCCCCAGAAGGGTGAGGTCCCCTGAGGTCAGGCCTCTTCCCTGGCATTCAAAGCACAGGAGCCCCACAGGCTATGAAGGTCACCACATGGCCCTGGGGCGTGGTGAAGACTGGCCATCCATGCTGGGTGCAGGAGGAGTGGGAGCAGCTGGGGAAGGGGGAGGAGGATCCTTTATCTGGGGCCAGCAGGGGGACACAAGAATGGCCATACTGGGTCAAACCAAAGGTCCATTTAGCCCAGTATCCTGTCTTCTGACAATGTCCAGTGCTAGGTGCCCCAGAGGGAATGAACATAACAGGTCATCATCAAGTGATCCATCCCCTGTCACCCATTCCCAGCTCCTGGCAAACAGAGGCTAGGGACACCATCCCTGCCAATCCTGGCTAATAGCCATTGATGGACCTATCCTCCATTAATTTGTTTAGTTGTTTTTGAACCCTGTTCTAGTCTTGGCCTTCACAACATCCTCTGCAAGGAGTTCCACAAGTTGACTGTGCAGTGTGTGAAAAAATACTTCCTTTGGTTTGTTTTAAACCTGGTGCCTATTAATTTCATTTGGTAGCCCCTAGTTCTTGTGTTATGAGAAGGAGTAAATAACACTTCCTTATTTACTTTCTCCACACCAGTCATGATTTTATAGACCTCAATCGTATCCCCCCTTAGTTGTTGCTTTTCCAAACCGAAAAGTCCCAGTCTTATTAATCTCTACTCATATGGAAGCCGTTCTATACCCCTAATCATTTTTGTTGCCCTTTTCTGACCCTTTTCCAATTGCAATATATCTTTTTTGAGAGAGGGCGACTAGCTCTGCACACAGTATTCAAGATGTAGGCTTACCATGGATTTATATAGAGGAAATATGATATTTCTCTCTTATTGTCTATCCCTTTCTTAATGGTTCCCAACATTCAGTTATCTGGGACCTGGTTGGCATCACTGCAGAGCTGCCCAAAGAAGTTGGGTGTGAGGGGTACCCACCGTGGGCCGAGGACACATCTGCTCCTATAGGGCAGGGTCACTCAGCCACCATGACAAACATATTGACCCCTAGCATGTGAGATGCCTTGGAGATCCATCCCCATACGCACCCCATCTGTCTGTCATATAGACACAGAGACAGGTGTGTATCTATCCATCCGCAAAGACACCCGTATGTCCGTCTGTCTGTCTGTCACAGAATATAACCCTGTGTCCACTATTGTAGTAATCTCTGTACACAGCACGCCTTGTGAGGTATCATTTGAAAATGCATAATTTGCTGCTCATTATTGTCCTAGTTAAATATGTGTGGTAACATTGAAGTGAAGTTATAAGATTCCAGTCTCTGGTGTTACTAAAACATGTGGCCAAACTAGAGAGAAAGCCTGGTGTAAACAAGACTGATGGGCCATCAGCTGCTAAGTGGCCGTTCTTTGGCAGGAAAGTGGGCAGGGGCAAAAAAATCTACATCTTAGCAAAGAAAAAGCCTGGAGTTCCCGTCCACAGAGACGGCCTGTCACCTTGTTCCCAGCTCCCCTCTCTCTGTGTCCCTCCATTGACTGAATGAGAAGGGACAAAGGAAGCAGCCATTAAACAGAAGGGGTCCTGGCCTAAGAAGTCTGGCCGGTAATAGTATTGAGAGCACACGGTGAGAAAACCTTTGCTTGAATTTAACCCAGTTTCTTAAGTTAGGCACCAATTGCATTTGAGCTTTGTTGTTCTTGTAACCATTCCTGAAATTTATGCCTCATGACTCAGACTCCCTTGAAATGTCTCTCTGGGTAGTTAATGAACTTGGTTTATTGTTTTATCTGATCCAGTGTGTTGGAACTGAAGTGTCTGAGAAACTCCACTTGGGGCATCGGGATTTGTGCATGTCACTTATATTAATAAAATGACAGACTTGATATCATTGGTACTGTCCAGGTGATACAGGGCATTTCTGGGGGAAAATCTCAGACTAGGGCTGCGTTGGGGTCACCCTGCAGCATACCCATGGCTGGCAAGAGACAAGGTGTGGCTGTCTGGCTGGCAGCAGCACACACAGACACAGCTGGGAGTGACTTAAACCTGGAGGCTGTTTGTGAGGATCCAGACTGGAGGCTGTCAGAAGCAAGGCATTGCAAAGGGCACACCGCTTAGAGGGTAGGGGTGACACAGCTACTCATTGGTCTGTATTGCACACAGGGTATGTCACACTCCCCCCACACCTGGCTTTATCTCCCTCGCTGGCATGCACTCAAGGTGTATGACACAGGGCTCAACAGGTCTGATTGTGTCCAGCAGAGGGCAGCGGGGACTCAGCCTGGTCATGGCAATCCAAACCCCCTTCTCCACTAACTCTTGCTGGGGTGGGGGTTGCTCTTTCAGGGTGGATCATCGGTGGGAACGTATCTTCGCCACACTCCAGACCCTACATGGCTTACCTGGAGGTGAGCATGGGCCCGGTGAATACACAGACGTGCGGAGGGCTGTTGGTGAAGAAGGACTTTGTCCTGACGGCTGCTCACTGCAGCTGTATTGCAGGGTAAGCAGGGACAGGGAATGAGACCCAGGCCTGTGGGGTGGCACCCCGGGCAACCCTAGACCTCTCAGTTCCCAGATTTCAGGGAGGAGAGATCAGGATAGGGACTGGGAACAGGGTGGCAGTGCAGGGCCCTCACCGCTAGGGGGCCCCACGGCTCCCAGCCCCAGTGGGGAAAGACTGGGGGACCCAGGTATCCAGGACAGCAATAAAGGGCCCTCACCCCTAGGGGGCCCCACAACTCCCAACTCAAGTGGGGAGAGGCTCGGACAGCAACTGGGACCCAGGCATCCAGGAGGGCAGTGTAGGCCCCTCACCCGTAGGGGGCCCCAGAGCTCTGAGCTGCCAAGCTGGGAGAGACTGGGACAGGGAAAGGAACCCAGGCATCCCCGCAGCTCCCAGCCGGGTCAGTCTCCTTCCTCCTTAGTGGCACTTTATTCCCCATTTATCAGCAACATCACAGTCATCCTCGGAGCCCACAATGTCCACGAGCCGGAGGAAACCCAGCAGCGCCTGCGTGTGCGACGCATCATCCCCCACCCAGAATTCACCAGGGACCCCTTCACCAACGACCTCTTGCTTCTGCAGGTACCGGGAGCCCCACCCTGGGTTTGATGCAGACAGCTGCAATGCGAGGGTGCCCCTCTGGGGACGCTGAGTGTCACCCACACTGACAGGACAGGGGCTGTATTCTGCACAGCAGCGACTCTGGAAGGGACTTTGGGGTCATGGGGAAACCAACCCAGCACAAGGCTGGAGCTAAGCGGGCAGATGCCGTCCTTAGGTGTGTAAACCGAGGGATAGCAAGTAGGAGCAGAGAGGTGGGGTCCCCTCATGATACAGCCATGGGAAGACCATGACTGGAGCCTGTGGCCAGCTCTGGCATCCACACCTCACACAGCACGTTGGCAAATTGGAACGAGCTTCAAGAACACTCCGAGATCTGGAGACATGGCCTGGCAGGTAGAGCTCCAAGGAGATCGATCTTCTGAGGTTACTGTAGGGGAGAAGAGGACTTGACCCCAGGCTGTAGGACTCTGTAGGGCTTTCTGAGGGTAGGGGCTCTTCATCCTCGCTGTCCTAGGCAGGACTAGACCGGCTGATGCTGGACAAATTTGGGCTAGAAATCTGGCTCGGGTTTGTATCGGGAGGGAAATAGTCATTGGAACAACTGAGCTAGAGATGTGATGGATTCTCCATCCCTTGGAGTCCTTATGCTGAGGTGGGACATCTCTTCCTATTAACCTCACCTTAGCTCAAGCAGATAGTACGGGCTGGATATTCCTCCAGTTCCTCCCTCTTTGTGCCGCTAGTCCAGGTGCGTAGCTTCCTACCAGCCGACCTTTCCGGTTCAGTCCCTCGCGGGAATCACTTCCAGTCCCCGCTATCCCCTGGGCTGCTCCTACCATCCCCTGCTGCATCCCCTCCACGCTGCTGTTCCCTCTCCAGCCCTAGCTCCTCCCTCTCGTGGCCCCCCCAGTCTTTTCTGCCTGAGCTGGAGGGGTAGCTGGTCCCCAGACTAACTCCGTCCTGGGTGTCCCGGAGTGGGTCCTAAGGGGAGGTTTTCACACTTATACCCCAGCCAAGCAGCCAGGCTGATCCCAAACCCTTTCTCTCCCCCCGGAGTAGCTGGAGAAGAAGGTGGAGGTGACGAAGGAGGTGAAGCTGCTCAGGTTGCCCTCGGCTCATTCCACCCCGAAAGCAGAGGAGAAGTGCCTGGTAGCCGGATGGGGTCTCACTAGCCCGAATGCCTTTATGCCCCCTAGTACCCTGCATGAAGTGCAAGTGCAGGTGCTGGATGAGGACACGTGCACCATGTTTTATCCTGGCTATGAGCACGCCAGCATGCTGTGTGCAGGGAGGCCCTTCCAGAGGGGATCGGCTTACATGGTAAATATCCATCCCACGCTCCTGAGCCCGCCAGTCCCTGCCCTGGGGCCGGACGGGAGACGGGGCCCCCTAGAAGGGAAAGGCCCCATCCCATTCCCCACCCCCTGAGCCAGCCAGTCCCTGCCCTGGAGGCAGATGGGAGTCAGTGCTACTTAGAGGGTACAGGACCAGTGTCCCATTCCCAGCCCCCCTGAGCCAGCCAGCTACCGCCCTGGAGCTGGATTGGAGCCAGATGCCTCTATAGAAGACAGGACCAGTGTCCCATTCCACACCCCCTTGAGCCCGCCAGTCCCTTCCGTTGGGCCGGATGGGAGCCAGGGCCCCCTAGAGAAGACAGGACCCGTGTCCCATTCCCCACCCCTGAGCCAGCCAGTGCCCTGCCCTGGGGCTGGATCAGAGATAATGCCCCCTAGAGGGGATAGGCCCCATGTCCCATTCCTCCTTCTGGTCAGTCTCAGCCTTTTCTTTCCTGTCACATTACCACAAGTATTTTGGGGACTACTTTATCCTCTAACACTCCTCGTTTCTCTCTTGTGTTTGAAGGGGGATTCCGGGGGTCCCCTGGTGTGTAACGGGGTACCCCAGGGCATTGTTTCCTATGGACGAGTGGACGGTTCTCCACCTGCGATATACACACGGCTTACTAAATTCGTTCCGTGGATTAGGCGACAGATGCGCTTGTTCCAGCAGTAATTAAGACACACACCAAGAGAGAAGGACATTGCCCATGGACCTCACGTCCCTGTTTGAAACAGAGTTGTCCAAATAGCCTTCCTGAGGGTTTTACACTGCTGCCCATTACCGTAGTATCTAGGCGCTATATTATTAATGTTAAACAGGAAAGTGGCCGTGGCTGCCTTCCAGCAGGTCTCTGATATATTGATAGGCTTGGAAGGATTCGATTTTTATTGGCAAAAGTCGGCAAACATCAATTTCGCTGCTCACACACAAACCGATGAAAAAATACTTCCATTGAAAGTAATAGAAATTTACATGTAGGCAAAGTAAGGAAAATGCTGCTTGAGAATGGCTCAGTTTGATTTCAGGATATGTACTTTGTATATTTTGACATGTGATGTTGACCATTTGTGTTTTAACCATTATAAAGCTTTGACATTGGGAATCTAAACATCTACTGTCATGCAATAATTATTGTCTGGCAGCCCCCCATTGTCTGTCATCCCCACAATTTCCTGCAATTGTGAAAATTTAAAAATAAATTAATAAAAATTGAAAAAAAAATGTTTAAAATAAACATAGTTATTATCTGCTGAAACACTAAACTAATACAAATGGACTAAACTAATGCAAAATGCCAAACCTACCTGTGGACAATCACAGGCCTGGTTGAAGTCAATGGATGCACAAAGCAGTCTTCTTTCAGCCTCAGTGGAAGGAGCAATTAAATGCCGCTTTATTTAGTGATTGCTGGAAACAATAGAAGCCACTGCCAAAGGCCTTGGGCTGCACAGCAAGGCCTGAGAAGCACTAAATCAGGGAGAATAAGAGGGGGTTTCCCAGTGACTGATTGCAAACACAACAGCTGGGCGATTGATTGGTTGCAGCTGTATGAGTATGAGAGATAGAAAGCAGAAGACAGCCAGAGAAGTCATGGTGAGTGTGAGCCTGGGAGAAAGCCAAGAGAGACAGAGCTCCTTCACGCATAGGAGCAGGGCCGGCTCCAGGGTTTTGGCTGACCCAAGCAGCCACAACAAAAAAAAAAAAAGACCGCGATTGCGATCTGCTGCAGCAATTCGGCGGGCAGTCCTTCGCTCCGAGCGGGAGTGAGGGACCGTCCACCGAATTGCCGCCAAATAGCTGGATCTGCCGCCCCTCTCCAGAGTGACCGCCCCAAGCACCTGCTTGCCATGCTGGTGCATGGAGCCGGCCCTGCATAGGAGGCAGGAAAGGCAGGAGCAAAGCAACTGTCAGCTGCTGTTTGTTCCTACTGTGTTCAGGGAAACAGGACGGTGTGGACATTCTTAGTAATTAAACAGGATTGAACAAAAGAACAGAGCTGACTCATATTATCCCTCCCTCTCCTCATGGCAGCTAGGCAAGGCCTCAAATATTGTCTAATTGCTCTGGCCAAAGGGGCTGATAATAACCTGATTTGGGACTATTACCCCATGCAAAACCGCCTCAAATATCACTGAGCTCTAAACATTGTTAACCCCAAGCAGGAGCCATACCCCCTCAAAAACAAGAAATTGGTTTAAAACACAGCAGATTTTTTTTTTAAAGGACAACTATTTATAGAACCTTTTAGGGATCACGTTTTCCAGATTTTCTCTGCAAACACGAGGCCTATAAACTTCTGTTTTGGAGATCAAAGATGATATTTTCTTAGAATCACATGACTTGAGAAGCTGGGGCTTTAAGAAGAACACCAAATAGCATGAAACTCACCATAAAACCACAAGAACGAGCAATACTGTACCTTATGAGAAAGTTCTCTACAATGTAATAGAGCTGACATCAATGAGACAATATAGAAATTACTCATGAAGCCTATAGAATAGTTTAGAGAATGATCTCTGGGCTGTAAAGATTTTATTTTATCTCTTGGGATTGTGGAAAATGTTAAATTCTAGCAAGTGGTTCAAAAATCCACTGTTGTCACTCAGGAAGTTTTTTACATTGAATTACCTTGCTTTTTTGGTAGGTTGGTTGGGTGTTGCAAACTCTTGCAATTTGATCACAAATCTCTGGTGAGTTGTTTCTAAAGGATCCTGCTTCTGGAGTCACGTGATTTTCATTTTACAAATAAGTTTCTAGCCCTTGTGGTTGAAAATGGGACCTTTGCAGGCTCAGAAAAAAACCTGAAGGCTAAGAAAAAGAACCCAATATTTATTTGCTTATTTTTTGTGTGGATCTGACTCATGAGTTTTGAACAATTGGGTCTGGCCCTGCTAAAATTCTCCGTTATTATTTATTAGGTATATTATGGTCATGCATAGGAACCCCAGTCATGGCCCAGGACCCCATTGTGCCAGCAGCTGTATGTTATGTATTAGGTGTATTATGGTAGCACCTGGGAGTCCTGGTCCTGGCCCCAGAGCCCATTGGTCTGGGTGGGCTCACTGGGCGACAGGAAGCCAGGAAACATGCGAGAACCTACGTGGCCTATTTGACACTAAAAAGATGGAGGAAAAGGAAATTCCACTGTGCAGAGCACCTGGTCCGGGAGGATTTTGTCCTGACAGCTCATTGAGATGGCTCGTAAGAAATGCTCACTGATCTTCATAGGGAGAGATCAGAAAGGGAACCCAAGGTGTTCTAGGGGTCACCAGAGTGTGGGGGGAGGGACTGGGATGGTCAAAGCTGGTGCCCCGAAGGGACAGGCCTCCCTCTCAACCAGCCAGTCCCCCACCTGGGGCTGGATCTGGGCCCGTGCCCACCAGAAGGAAAAGGTCCCGGGTCCCATTCCCCAACCCCACTGCCAGCAAAGACAGGTGCATCCAGAGGGTCTGGAGCCCAGTGACTGATTTCCTCCTGCCTGGATGGCAGCGTTTACCCCAAGTGTCCAAGAGGGAATTAAAGATGCCCAGGGAAGGTATTTCATGGAGCCAGGTATGGATCCCAGCGGACACCAGCCGGCAGGTGATATTAAGAGGGGAAGAGGGTGGCGGGTGGGGAGATCCTCTTCAAGCCCCTGGACCACAGAGCTCAGCTCTTACAGTGAGGTGCTCGCGCAGGCGAGAACAGACGGACGGATAGTCTCTGCAGCAACTGGATGGTGTAGACATGTTCCCACTATTCGTAGTCCAGATGGTGGGTCCAGCTCTGTGCCCTACCTCGGGGCTGGGTGCTCTCCTGCTAGCTGGCGTTGGGAATGCTCTGCCCATGATCTCCCTGCAAAGGGCTGGGGGTCAGGTTGGCCAGCAGGGCAGCGTGGGGGGAGTGTGCCCCCTCCATCTCCAGCCCTTTCTGGAACCTGCGAGGACCCCCCCCAGCCTGCCCCTCTCTGCTTGGGGAGATGGGAGGTGCCTGGGGGCTCCAGCTCCGTGTCCCACTCTGACCCTCACTCGCAGCGAGCTGTTGTCAGGGTGAGACCCTGCTGCTCAGGAACCCCGCACAGAGCAAGACGACCTGTCTGTGTCCCGATGAGCCTGGAGGGGGCCAGGTTCCTGTCCCCAGGGTACAGAAGGAGGGAGAGCTGCTGGGGTGCACAGCCTTCGCCTCCTGCCCCAGGCCCCAGGTCCCACTTGGATGGGCTTCTCCCAGTCATGCTGCCTGGACAGTGCCCTTCTCCAGCCCCCTGCAGCCCTTAGTGCCAGGGCTGTGGAGCATGGGCTCCGCTCCCCATCAGCCCCAATTCTCCCCCCCACCCCCATGCTCCCCAGCCCAAGCGCCGGGGGAAGAAAAAGGCCCTGGGAGCAGGGAAAGGAGCAGTCGGGGCAACACCTGTCTGGGGAACGGGCCCCTGGGTTAGCGCCTCAGCAGCTGCTGGCAAGAAATGGGAGGTACCACGGCAACTCCAAAACCTCAACCTCACGTCCACACTTACCCACAGGGAGGCCAGGGCCTGGCTGGCTGGAAGGTCCCCTGGTGTTAGGGTTACCATACGTCCTCTTTTTCCCGGACATGTCCGGCTTTTCGGCAGTCAAACCCCCGTCCGGGGGGAATTGCC